GGGTTTGAACCACCAGCCTTCTGGTTAGCAGTCAAGTGCCTTAGCCACTATGCTACCAGAGCTCTCCCTACAAATAGTAGAGCTAAACCATTAATTTAAAGGAGCCCAGAAGGGTATTAGCAGCCCACCGTAGAGCTGATTTTGGTCTGTCAATCCTAGACACTGTAAATACAGACCGCTTTTAAGAGGCATCTTTTTAATTAGGCACATTTGTTTCCTGGCAAATTTTATTTTGTCAAATAAATTCCCAAGTAATTTGATCTGCTTTACAGCTTACAAGACTATACATTTATTATCTTATTCAATTAATGCCTTGCTCTCTTTCTGGAAGATTTGGTTCCAAATATGTACCGTATGATGTGAGCCACAAGATGGTGCTCTAATACAGGCAATGAACTACTGAGCGGCTCTTAAGAGCAGTTAATAGGGCTTCAAAGGCAGTAATATACTCCCCTACATGATCATGACCCTAAACTCTTGCAAAGCACTTCGTTCACATCTATTATCTGAACACAGATCTTTGTACTTACTTTCTGAGGAAATCTTCCAAACCCTGACGACGCTGATCCACGTGCTGCCGGTTGTTCATGTTGAAAAACAGGTTTTTCGATGGCAGCTCTGGCAGTTGTCTTATGAGAAAGAGAAAAAAGATGTTTTTCAATCATCAAATCAGGGTGCTTTAGTTATAGGGAGGCAAATCATGCCTGATAATAATTACAACGGTATAAAGATATCAATTAACTTTAAAAACAACTCAAATTTTAACATTTCTGAAGCCCTTTATGGTCAATATCCAAACAGCTGGTGGAATTCAAATGATAGAATTTAAATTCAGATACAATAAACTACAAAACTAACTAAAGCTATATACTATAATCAAGAAGAAAGCCTGAAAATCCTCCGTACCTTATCTTAATGCATATGAACTTTCAGTTATTGAATACAATGAAGTCTCCCCAATACACCCTTTTATTTAGATCACTTACACCAGTAACGCATTATTTTGGAGTCTCTGCCTCAGCCACACAAATTCTCTGTATCTTCTTCGTACACAAGATGTTTTCATTGTGAAACACATGCTATTGGTCTATTGAGAAAAATACAAAATAAATTGCAGTCTCACTTGAGAAATAAGTGCTTTTGTTGTATCTGTAACACAGTATTAAAAAAACAAAACCAGTTGCTGTTGAGGCTCAATTGATTCTGATTCATGGAAAGTCCCTGTGGATCATAGTAGAACTATGCTCCATAGGGTTCAAAGTCTGAGTTTTTGGAAGCAGATTGCCAGGACTTTCTTCCGAGGCCCCTCCAACTGCCAACCTTTTGGTTACCAACTGAGTACATTAACCATTTGCACCATCCATGGATTCCTATAACCTACTACATGACCCCAATATTCATTCTAAATAATATACTGAATTTATGCTGGTCCTCTAAAATCTTGCCCTTAACCCACTGTTCTCATTACCTAGTGCCGGTCTGACAATGAATATACCATAAATGGGATGGCCTTAACAAACAGGAGTTTATTCTTAAAATTTGGAGTCTTTGAGTCCAAGTTCAAAGTGCCAGGCACCAGGGGCTAGGTGAAAGCCCCTCAAGCTTGGGGTCCAGCTCTGCCTCCTCTCCTGGCCCACTGGAGCTGGAGGCATTTCTTCACTCATATAGCTGCAGGCTGCTGAGGCTGAGAAGCCCCAAGGTTGACAAGTCAAAAGGCACAGTCCCGATGTTACCAAACCACATGGCAGGCTATTAACTGAAGTCCATTGTAAGTCCCAAGGTTGGCAGAGCATAGCAGGCTGCTGAGCAACAACACGGCTACATGCAGGGTCCAAGCATGCCATAGGCTAGAGACCATACCCAAGGCTTCTCCTTAAATGCAGGAAGCAGACCACATACCCAAAGGCAGCAGCTACTCAGCTGCTCACAGTAGATTCCACCATGGAGTTGATTACCAGTTTCATCATGGGGAATACTACATCCAGCTGCCCAGCCACTCAACCAGGCCTAACCAACTTGACACAAAAACATAACCACCACACCCACCCATACAATAGCCCTGAAGTCAGCTGAGGTGACATCAATGAGTCAGTATTATCCTGAGGTGAGTCCTAATCCAGCCATTCCCTCAGTCCTGAAGTAGCTCCCTGCTCACCTAGTTTAGCACTGACTTTCAAGAATAGATTGTCAAAGACAAATTCTGAAGTACGACTGATGAGAACTCAAGGTCATCCACTGCATTTTTAACACCATTCATGTAGGTGGAGGAGCATCTGTGAATAAGGTACATCTTCTCATGGTCCCTGACATGACATCACAGAAGCTGTCCTCTCCCAGACATACCACACAAATTACCAGGAATCCTAAAACCACTTTTAAGCAGGAGAACAACATTTCCCTTCATACTAGACATGAGGGGAGTATAATCTGAGGAAAGGTATGTAGTGCACCAGGAGGAGGGCTGGCCTACAGGATAAGCAGCCCCCAGTTCCAACCCAGGCTCTGCTACAGGGCAAGTCATCTAACTCCTGTTTCCTGAGTAGTAAAACGGGGATAAAATAGAACATACGTGCTTCATAGGGTGACTGTGAGAACTGATAATAAACACCTGGTTAAAGTTACCTATTAATATTATTATTAGTTACTAAATGTTGGTTTCCTTCCAGCTACTCTAAGAGGCAGACTTGGAAAAAGCCACCTACAGAGAGAGTCCTCATCCTAAGGTAAGACACAGTGCTTCTCCTTTGGGTAAACATAAGAGTATTAAGTATGTGTGCTTCTCCTCTGGGTAAAACAAAACAAAACAAAATAAACTCATTGCTGTCGAGTCGGATTCAACTCATAGCAACCCCTCCTTGGGTTTCCAAGGCAGTATCACTAAGGGAGTAAGCCCAGTCTTCCTTCCGAGGAGTGGCTGGTGGCTTAGCAGTAAAATGCATTATGTACTATGCCACCGGAAACAAGAGCCTGCCAAATATCTGTCTACTCATTTTTAAAATATAAGAATATCTCTATTCTCTGTATTTATTTCAAAATTCTATTTCATAATCTTTATATTGCCAAATGAGAAACAAAATTTTCTGTCCCCAAGATTTGTATGACTTCACAAATTATTATTCTACTGGCATTTGTTCTCCTTGGGAAATCTAAGCAATTGTGTGCACGAATTCTCAAAATGTTCTCATAAAATGAACGGCACAGTTCCTTGTATTCTTATTACAAAGTTCAGAAAAGCTCAGGATGCAGAGAGCTTAAGAGACTTCCCCAAAGTAGCCATTGGTCCAAATCCCATTATCTTTGGTGCCACAAGCTTCATCATGTATGCTTTGCTGCCATGTTGTTGTTATGTGCCGTCGAGTCAGACCCGACTCATAGTGACCCCTCCTTGGGTTTCCGAGGCAGTATCACTACGGAAGTAATAGGATGTGGACCAATGGCTACTTTGGGGAAGGCAGCAAAGCATACAGGATGAAGCCTGTGGCCCAGTAACAGTTGCTGGATGGAGTCCAAAGCACACCAGGGCCTCACTCTAATGTGTTCCTTGGGGACCGAGCCAGTAGGCTGTGGTACACCAGAATTAGTGCCTTAACGAGGCTAGGGAGGGTATCCTCTCAGCTGTGTCTCCCCAAAGAATACCAGGCCACTGCAGGGACTCCCGTTGCTTTGGGTACAGGCTGGGTCAATTTTCTTTTAATTTCTCTGTTCAGAATCACTGTGAATGTTGATAATGGAAGAGCTACCTGGTAGCTACATCAGAGCAAGGTCCATTTATAAATCCTTCATTTGCAAAACTAGTTCAGGAGAGTTATATATGATGGACTATCTAGCATTATAATCCATTAGTTTAAAATTCCAAGTAAACATTAAGATTTCAGAGTGGTCTGATAATCATTTCCCTTGAGGTTAACGTAAGCAGGTTAAACACTAGCTTCTCTTCCTGCAAAGCTCCATGGGTATAACGTCTATGAGAGGCAGACCAGAACCCTTCAGCCCAGCCATCTACTCTTCATCATACAAGGACAAGCAGAAGCCTCTTCTGGATGAGAGTATACTGAGATCACTAACTGATTAAGTTCCTCTAAATTTACTTGCTTGTTTCTACTATCCACCAAGCCAAGATTTACTTGCTGTCAATTTATTAGCCTTTCAGACAAACACCAGGACATTATCAATAATATTTGTTGAATCAATCATTTCTGGCTTGAGATGGAGATTTCTGAATTCACTTCATGCTATTTACACAGCAGAAAAGAATCCATATTTTCATTTACTCCCTTAGGATAATAAAATTTTATGCCTACCACAAAGTATATGATAAGGACTCAAACTATTTTTTGGAGGAAAAAGCAATTAAAGAATTTCATTTTAAATAAACAATTAAAATGCTTATTCTTATGTACTGATGTTATAACTTTCCATATAGACTACAGCTTGGAATGAGCTTATAAGTAAAACCAAACCAAAATCAAAAGACACAGCGTACTCTAGCTATGATCAAGAAAACAAGCATCAAAAAAGTAGCTCTGCATAGAGAGAGACATGGGAAGTACAGACAACAAATATCAACCCTTTTGCATATACAGTACTGAGTTGTCAGTGAAGGCAAACATGGGTATATGGATGGATAGATAG